CATCTCACCCCATTAAGAATGGCTAGCATTAAGAAATCAACCAATAACAAATGCTGGTGAGGCTGTGGAGAAATAGGAAATCTGCACTGCTGATGGGAATGCAGACTGGTGAAACCACTGTGGAAATCAGTTTGGAGATTCCTCAGAAAACTAGGTCTAGAAGTCCCATTCAACCCAGCTATTCCCCTTCTGGGTATTTTCCCAGAAGCTCTGAAAACATCATATCACAGTGATATATGTGCACCCATGTTCATAGCCACACAATTTGTAATTGCTAAGTTGTAGAAGCAACCCAAATGTCCATCCACTAAGGAATGGATAAAAAAAATTGTGGTACTTTAATATAATGGAATATTACTCAGCTATAAAGAAAGATAAACTTGAGGCTTTTACAGGTAAAATGGCCACAACTAGAGACCATACTCATGAGTTAAATAAACCAGACCTCCATACATAAGCAATATATTATCTCACTAGTGTAAGAACCTGAAAGAGTGAATAAAAATTAGGAGGTATGATAGATATTGTGAAATCAAAGGAAAATGCTCAAAAGTAAAGAGCAACTGGGGTGAGGGAAAAGAGAAAATAAAGAAGGGAAGATTATGTATGTATGTATGTATAAACAGGATAGGTAACATAGTTGTACTACTGACTTCTGTCACTTTACTGAAAGGAACAGTTAATGATTACTTATTTGATCCATTGTGCATGTCTCTATTTATTTGCCTGAGAAACCGCTTTGAAGGTATCAATATGTAATACAACAACAATTGTTAGTTTCCTACCACCTTTTCTGTAACTCTGTATTGCATGTATTGTTCCTATACTATTTTGTAAATGGATGTCTGTTTGTTAATATGTTTTCCTTCTTTTATTTCTAAAATAAATTTTTGAAAAGAGAACTACAAGCCAATGGAAAAAAAAAAAAAAAAAAGAATGGAGACAGTGGACATGCTTGGATTTTAGAAAGCTTTTGAGTTTTGCCCAGTTAGTGGGATTCATGGCCCACTAAACCACGACCAGGTGGGATTCATCCCAGGGGTGCAAGGATGGTTCAACATATGTAAATCAATAAATGTAATACATCATATTAAGAGAGTCAAGAGAAAAAAGCATATGATAATATCAATAGGTGCAGAAAAAGCTTCTGACAAAGTCCACCACCCATTCATGATAAAAACCCTACAGAAAATTGGAATAGATGGTCTTTATCTCAGTCTGAGCTGTCCATGACAAACCAACAGCCAACATCATGCTAAATGGTTAAAGACTGAAAGCTTTCTCTCTGAAATCAGGAAGAAGATAAGCATGTCCACTGTCTCCACTCTCATTCAGTATAGTCCTGGAAACTTTAGCCAGAGCAATTAGACAAGAGAAAGAAATAAAAGGAATAATGATAGGAAAGGAAGAAGTTAAATTGTCATTATTTGCAGGTGACACAATACTCTACATAAAAGACCCCCAAAACTCCACTAGAACACTGCTAGATTTTATAACCAAATTCAGCAGCACAGCTGGATACAAAGTAAACACTCAAAAATTAACAGCCTTCCTATATAAGAATAAAAAATCACTGAGAGAGAAATTAGGGAAACAACAACTTAACAGCATCCAGAAAAATGAAATACCTGGGAATCAATGTAATAAAGGATGTAAAAGACCTCTACATTGAAAACTTCAGTACTCTTAAAAGGGAGATTGAAGCAAATATTGAGAAATTTCTACTTCTTATTTTTCAGATAATCCACTGCTGTTGTGTAGGAAGAACCAATACACGGAAAATGTCAGCACTTCCAAAACTGTTATTCAGATTTAATGTAGTTCTGATCAAATTTCCAATAGCATATCTCATGGAAACAACCCTAAAATTCATATGGAACCAGAATAGACCCAGAATAGGAAAGGCAATTCTGGGCAACAGAGGCAAGGCAGGGAGCATCACAGTCTCTGACTAGAAATTATACTACAAAGCTACTGTGATAAAAACAGCATGGTACTGGCATAAAACAGACCTGAAGATCAGAACGGATTAGAAGATTCAGAAACAACTCCAGACATACTCAGCCACCTTATCTTCAAAAAAGATGCCAAATATACTCAGTGGAAGAAAGATAGCCTCTCTAATAAATGGTGCTGCAAAACTGGCTCCACACATGCTGGAGATTAAAATTGGACCCATATCATTCACCATGCACTAAACTAAATTTGAAACAGGTCAAAGATCTAAACATTAAAATAGAAACACTAAATCTGCTGGAACATATACTAGGTAAAATGAATACGTTGAATACGTTGGTGTAGGCAAAGACTTTATGAATAGAACACTGATTGCCCAGAAAGTATTACGAAGAATCAATAACTGGGATCTCACCTTATTAAAAAGCTTTTGCACAGCAAAAGAAACCACCAATAGAGTGGAGAGACAACCCACAATGTGGGAAAAAATATTTTCCAACTGTTACTTGACAAAGGATTACTATTGAGAACATGTAAAGAACTCAAAAAAAAAAAAAATCAGACCTCCCATATTTAAAAACCCAATCCAAAAGTGGGCATAGTGTGTTAACCATTGTTACCCTTCTATTATCTTGTTTTGAACTTTTGTTTTATTTTCCTCTATAGATAAAAAAGACTAAATAGGGAAAAAGTCATAGTTAGGAAGGCATTTCTCTCAGTACTTTTTTCTCCAGATTTTTGTGACTTTATTTTTCATACCCAAATCTCTCACTGCTTTTATTTTTGTCTGGTTACATACAGTGCCAGTACAAATCGAGTTTTAACTTTTTCCTACTTTCTGTCTGTTTCCTGAGTCTAAAGCACAGTATTTACACTCTGACTTTGTGATTTTAGGTACTGCCTTAAACACATGCAATAAAGTTCATAATGCACTACTTTAAAATTTTTAAAAATAAACAGTGATTTCAAAAATAAACTGATTTTCTAGTGATTTTTTATCACTAGAAAATAAAAAGAGCAAAAAATCTTTTAGAGTATACAAGCTGAGGAACACAAGACAAAGCAGAACAAATTAAAAAAAGGAAAAATATACAAATAGTAATTTAATTTTCTTACTTCTTCTGAAGTGGCACATCTATACTAGTCTTTAAAACTAAAATATAGATGTTCAGAATAACAAAATTCTCCAGCTATTCTAATTATATGGACGATGAAGGATAATTAGGAAACACAATGATGGAGAAGAAGCACAAAACATCTAAAGACTGTTTTAGAAAACAATTTGTACCTCTTGTTTGTGAAGTGATATTATTAAGGAAACAGTTGAATGTCTCTGCTAAGTGCTTAAATGATACTGAACAAGAAAGGACATAGATCAGCAGAGCCTGGCCCTATTTCAGATTCATGTGCAAGTGCAGTATGCACTTCAGGAGGGAGAAGAAAATGAACAATATCGATTCTGAGCCTGGCCCACTCCCCTTTTCATAATGAACTAGAAGTAGCTGGTTCCAAGTTACCCGACAGACACTAAATATTTTGACTGTGACAGGCAAGAAGATGGAGGGAATACTTCCAGGTACTTTATGTAAGATAAGTGAAACTGAGGTTTAAAATACCTAGCAAGAACATGTAGACAGTGGCAGAAATACTGTAGGTAAGTGGAAATCTATTTTATAAGACATAGCTCAAAGAAGACCAGTTAAAACTGAGACCTTTCTTGGCTGCCCAGGGTCTCATCCTTATGAAAATGAGGTATTTGCCCTCAGATGGCAGTATACTGATGACGTTCTGGTTGCTACATCCAAAATTCCATGCCTTCTTCCTCCCTACATCTCAAATTGCTTTTCTGTGCTTGAGTTTACCTTGCTCTATTTATCCACCCTTCCTCCATGATTCTGATTGCAATTTCCCCATCTAATTCTCCATTTCTTTCTGCACCTCTTAAGCACAGGCATGACCTTTATGCTTTATTTTCTGGGGGTTTTTTGTGACCTGTTTTTCCTGGATGATTCATCAGCCTCTCTGGGTCAAGCTGTCACCTCAAGGCAGAAGGATGCAGGTTTCTTGAGAGCTTTCTGCCTCACTGTCCTTGGCTTTCACAGCTGTTTACCTGGATGTCTGAGTACACACTGTGGTGTGGTCTCTAAAATGATGAGAATTGTTCCCTCCAAACAGTATCGCACTCTAGAATGTGCATTCTTTCTCAAGTTAACAGAATGGCTTCAACCTCACACACAAAAATCAAATGAATTCATCCTTTTTCAGTAATGGTTCGAGATCCAGGCAAATTGTCTAACCTGTTCTTTCTTTGTAACCTTCCCAACAAATATTCCTTCCCTCTTTTCCCATTTTCACTAATTTTCCCTTTGTGTCAGGATTTTTACATTAGACTTCTAGCTTCTTCACGTCCTGATTCTGCAGCGAAATCTGTCCATGTGGGGTTGTTATTCGAGCTATGATTTTGAAATTGGCAGTCTTGGCACCAGCTGGGAACTCATTAGTAGGTGAAATCTCTGGCTCCTCTTAAGAACTCCTGAATCAAAATTTGAATTTTAACGGGATCCCCAAGTAATTGGTGTGCCCATAGAAGTCTGAGAAGTTCTGTTGGACATAATCATGTTACTTCTCTTCTCAGAAGGGCTTCAAAAATTACTCACTTTGACATCGCTGAATGAGAGAGCATTGGTTAAATGTAAATTTACACTGTCTCCACTATTGTTCCCACAAATCACCCATACAGACCTTACAGTGTTGTTTTCCCCCAGCCCCTGAAACATCATTCAACCCTCAGCACTTGTGTTTGTCTAATGTGCTTTACATCTGCCAATGCCCTCTATTCATTGTTTGTAGACATAAATTAGATCCATTATGATGAAAGATGAATTCATGATCCATCTCTTTAGCATCTCTTGATAGTACTTCTTTGATGGATACAAAGGAAAAAATGTTTAGTATCTACAAAAATATTTTATATTAATCTAGTTTATTAAGACTTTTAGCTCATATTTCCAACCTGATACTAACCTTTGATTGGCATTTGTTCTGTCATGTAGTAGAAATCCTTGTACACCATTAGCACCAAGCAATTTCTAAAAATAAGTCTTCCTAGATGTCCTGAAAAGTAAAAGCACTTTCTCCTCATTTATAGTATTTAGTTATACAATAAAGTTGGATAAAATTCCAGAAGATGATGGCTAAACCCTTGTTTACTCAGCACTCCTTTTAATAAGGTAATCAATTTGATATAAATGTCAAAATATTTAAATGGTCATGATTCCACTTATATGGTTATATGTAGAATTAATTTCTAATAAGTACATTTAAAATAATGTGTATAATGATATGTGTTTGAATATATTGCAATATTTGAAGGGAAAATTATTTCCTTAATAAGCCTACAGATAAATATATCTATATGAACTGACAAGATTTAGTAGAAATTAAATTTCATAATTAATGATCATTGTTATTTTTTATTTTACAGAGAAAAGAAAACAAAAGAACAACAAAAGTAAAAGAAAACAATAAAAACAGTACAGAATTGCAAAACAAGATGATAGAAAATTAACAATATTATATTGTTATATAACATATTGTTATCTTCAATTAAGTTGCTCAAATTACCAGATGTAAGAATGCAAGATTGATCAAACAATTAAAGAGAATAAAAAATAATTTTAAAAAACATTAGAAACAATACAGAGCTTCACTAATCAAGATGGTAGGAATTTACCAATGGTTGTTATATTGCATATTGTTGTCTTCAAATTAGTTGTTCAGATTACCAGATATCAGCGTGCAAAATTGGTCAAAAAAGATTTAAGCATTAACTGTCTTTCAATAAACCAATAGACATCAGCAGTTCAATTACTCAGCTATCCCTGTATATACATATATATTTTTCCCATCCTTCTTTTTTTTCTTTCTCCTTTCCCTTATCCCAGTTGTTAATTCCCTTTGAGCTACTTCTTTCCCTTTCACAATATCTATTATACCTTTCAGGTTTTATTTACTCTTTCAAGATCTTACACTGAGGAGACAATATGATGTTTACACATGCCGTCTGCTTTATTTCACTTATGAGTATGGTCTCAAATTGCATCCATTTACCTATAAAAGCCTCAAGTTTATCTTTTTAAATTTTTTTTGTCCTGGGAATCGAACTAAGGACCTTGTGCTTGCCAGGCAGGCGGTGTGCAGCTAAGCTATATTCCTGGCCCCAAGTTTATATTTTGTTATAGCTGAGTAACACTCCATTGTATAAAAATACCACATCTTTTTAATCATCTTCAGTTGATGGGCATTTGGGCTGTTTCCAAGATTTAGCTCTCACAAATTGCGCTTTTACAAACATCAGTGCACATATATCAGTGTGGCAAGACGTTTTCAGTTCTTCTTGAAAAACACCCAGAAGGGAAATAGCTGGGTTGAATAAGACCTCTAATCCTAGTTTTCTGAGGAATCTCCACACTGATTCCCACTGTGGTTGTACCAGTTTACACTCCCACCAGCAGTGGAAAAGGGTTCCTTTTTCCCCACACCCACTACAGCATTATTTTATTGGTTGACTTCTGGACGATGGTCATTCTTTATGGGGTGTGATGGAATCTCGGTGTTGTTTTAATTTTCATTTTTCGAATGACCAATGATGTTGAACATTTTTTCATATATCTATTTGCATTTGCATTTCTTCATATGAGAAGTGTGTATTCATCTGATTATTTGATTGAGTCTTTCGATTTTGGGGGCCTGATTTTTTCTAATTCTTTATATGTTCTAGATAGAAGTCCTTTGTCTGAGGGGCAGTTGGCTAAATTTTTTTCCAATTCATAGGTTTTCTTTTCACCCTATTTTTGATTTCCTTTGATATGCAAAAGCTTTTCCATAACATGAGATCACAGGTGTTGATTCTTTGAAGTATTTCCTGTGCAGTTTGGTTTTTGTTCACGAACTCTCTGCCTACCCACATAGCTTTAAGATTTCTACCTATTTTCTCCTCCAGTAGATATAGTGTTTCTGTTTCAATATATAGAGCTTTGATCCATTTTTACTTTAGTTTAGTGTATGGTGATACACATTGGTCTAATTTTAATCTTCAGCATGTGGAAAGCCAGTTCTTCCAGCACCATTTATTAAAGAGGCTATCTTTCTTCCAGTGAACATGTTTGGCATCTTTGTCAAAGATATGATGGCTGAGTGTGTTTGTAGTTGTGTCTGCATCTTCTAATCTGTTCCACTGATCCTCAGGCCTTTCTTTTTGCCAGTACCATGTCAGTTTTATCACAGCAGCTTTGTAGTATACTTTCAAGTCCAGGGTTTTGATGCTTCCTGCCTTTCCATTGTTACCCAGGATTGCTTTTGCTATTCTAGGTATCTTTTCATTCCAGATGAATTTTAGGAACATTTTCTCTAGATCTGTGAGGTACACTAATGATATTTTAATCAGGATTGCATTGAATCTGTATAACAACTTTGGGAGTAAGGCCACTTTCATAATATTGGTTCCATGAGCAAGGAATGTCTTTGTATTTTCTGAAATCCTCTTCAATCCATTTTTAAAGAGTACTGTAATTTTCACTGTATAGATCTTTCACTTCCTTCATTACATTGATTCCTAAGTATTTCATTTTTTTGTATGTTATTGTGAAATGTGTTGTTTCCCTAATTTCTCTCTTAGTGTGTTAGTTGCTTATGTACTAGAATGCTATTGATTTTTGAGGTTGACTTTTTATCTAGCTACACTACTGAAATCAGTTGTTAATTCTACAAGTCTTTTGGTAGAGTTTTTGGAGTCTTCTCTGTAGACTATCATGTCACCTATGAATAATGTAATTTCACTTCTTCTTTTCCAATCCTTATTCCTTTTATTTCTCTTTCTTGTCTAATTGCTCTGGCTAACGTTTTCAGAAGTATATTGAATAGGAGTGGTGACAGTGGACATCCTTGTCTTGTTCCTGATTTTAAAGTGAGAGCTTTCAGTTTTTGTCCATATAATATGTTGCTGGCTGTTAGTTTGTTACAGATGGCTTTGATCAGATTGAGGTAAAGACAATCTATTCTGATTTTCTGTCAAGTTTTTACTGTAAATGAGTATTGGACTTTTTCAAAAGCTTTTTCTTCATCTATTGAGATGATCTTGTGATTTTTTTCTTTGACTCTGTTGATATGGTGTATTACATCTATTAATTGGTGTATATGGAACCATGCCTGCATTCCTGGGATGAATCCCACTTGAGATTCATAATTTTCTTGATGATTTGCTGAATTCTGTTTGCAAGTATTTTACTGAGGATTTTTGCATCTATGCTCATTACCAAGATTGGTATGTAGTTCTCCTTTTTGGCTTGGTCTTTCTGTGGTCTTGGTATCAGGGTAATATTTGCTTCCAGGAATGAGTTAGGGAGAATTGTTTCCCTTTCAATTTCATTAAAGTGATTGAGAAGAATTGGCATTAAATCTTCTCTAAATTTATTGTAGAGTTCAGTTGTGAGTCCATCAGGAAATGGGCTTTTCTTTGTTGGAAAGTCTTTAATTACATTTTCAATTTCATGGACTGATAGTGGGTTATTTAGAAATTTTATATCTTCTTGATTCAGCTTTAGTAAATCATATATACCTAGCAATCTGTCCACTTTTTCTGTGTTTTCCATCTTGTGAAAGTAAAGATTTTTGAAGTAGATATTAATGATCTTCTGCATTTCTATAGGAATTGTAGTGATTTCACCTTTTTTGTTCCTTATTGCATAACCTTGAGTTTTTTCTTTCCTTTTTCAATAAGATTGTCTAGAGGCTCATAAATTTCATTTATTCTTTCAAAGAACAAACTCTTCAATTCATTAATTCTTTGTATTGTTTTCTTAGTCTCCATTGCATTAATTTTATGCTCTGATCTTTATACTTTCCTGCCTTCTTTGGGCTTTGGGTTTGAGTTGCTCGTCTTTTTCTAGAAGCTTTACATGCAGCATAAGGTATTTTATCTGTGCTTGTTTTGTTTTCCTGATTTGAGAATTCACCACAACAATTTTCCTTCTTTAGACTGCTTTCACTATGTCCCACAGGTTCTGGAAAGTTGTATCTGCATTTTCATTTTATTGTAAATGTTGTTTAATTTCTTCTTTAATTTCATCTGTGCCCACTGGTTGTTCAGGAGGATGTTATTTAATTTCCATGTGTTTATGGAGTTTTTGTGATTTCTTGTCATTAGATTCCAGTTTCATTGCACTATGATCAGATAATAGGCATCAGATATTGTCAATCCCTTTGCATTTACATAAGCATGTTCTATGTGCTGGTATATAGTCTATTTTAGAGAATTTCCACATGCAGGTGAGAAGAATGTGTATTCTGATTTTGTTGCAAGGAACACTCTGTAAGTCCATTTGTTCATAGGTTTGGTTTAGTTCTGTTATTTCCTGGCTGATATTTTGCCTAGTTGATCTATCTGTTTGTGACAATGGGCTGTTAAAGTCCTCCATTGCAATTGTGTAATTGCTTATTTGATTTTTCATGTCTGTTAAAATTTGTCTTATGTAATTGGATACTCCTGTATTTAGTTCATATATATTTATGAATTTATCTTCTCCTCTTGCAGTTTTCCCATAACAAGTATGTAGTGACCTTCTTTATCCTTTTTGATTATTCTTGGTTTGCAGTTCATATTGACCACAAACAGAAAAGCTATCCCCGCTTTTATTTAGATTCTTGTCACATGGAGTATTGTTTTCTATCCTTTGACTTTCAGTTTGTGAATTCTCTTTTATGTTAAATGTGTTTCTTGTATAGCACATATTTTTGGATTTTGTTTCTTAATCCACTCTGCCAGTCTGCTTCTTTTGATTGGTGAAATGAGGCCATTTACATTGATGGCCATAACTGATATGTATTGGCTTATCTTTATGATGTTTTTTTCCCACTGTTGATTCCCTACTTTTCCCCTCTGTTTAAGGTCTTGTTCTGCTTGGAGATTCCTTTCTGTTGTTGTTTTTCAAGTTGTGATCATTTCCCTCTCTAGAATATCTTGCAGTAGCCTTTCTAAGGTTGGTTTGGTAGTCATGAATTTCTTCAATTGTTCTTTGCCATGGAAATATCTTATTTTTCCATTGATTTAGAAAGAT